CCATGTCGAGAGGAAAAAATAAGAAAAATGTAGATTTTGTATTGTTTTTTACAAGTTAGGATGGGACCACCCGGATGGGGCCCCTATCTGCCGGCCTGAGGGGGGAGTAGGAGTATATTATAATAAAGAATAAGGATAGGAGTAGGAGTAGGAGTAGGAGTAGGAGTCAAGCTAGCAAGCTCGAGCGAGTCAAGCATGGCATGCCCAGTCCCACCCGCCCTCCCACAACATAAGAAGCAAAGCTGGCACAACTGGGGGCCGAAGTCACACCGGCCAGCCGGTTTGGTACAGCTGATTCGGCCGCGATGGCGGTTGCCGACGGGAACTGGCGAGCGCGTGTTGAATGCCGCGCACGCATTGCCAGACGAGTCGAGAATGGCCCGGTACACCGCAGGAAGCCAGAAGGCCCCAACTTGTACTGTTTTTTTTATAAAGGGGGGGTTTGGATGGGCGGGCGCGGGGTGCGCGCCGCATCCCATTCCTGCCAAGCATTTTGCGACGTGGACGACAAGACGTCCATGCTGAGAGGAAAAACGTTGGTGCGCGGCGCCGAGGCGAGAGCGACATGTCACCCCTTCGCGCGGGGTGTGCGCCGCGTCCCATTCCTGCCACTCATTTTGCGACGTGACGACAGCACGACCATGTTGACATACAAAAACAAAAATTGTGTATTGTCTTTTGCATATTAGAATGGGACGGATTGGATGGGCGGGCGCGGGGTGTGCGCCGCGCCCCATTCCTGCCATGCATTTTGCGACGTGGACGACAGGACGTCCATGCGACGGTGCCAATGACGGCGACGACTCTAGAAGGATTTGAGCATGCGCTCGAGGCGACGCGCGCGCATGTCGCCCGCGTGGTATTTTTTGCACAGGATTCGCGGCCTGGGTGCATGACAGAGCATCGCGAGTGCACCGCGCGATGACGTGAAATCGCTGGATTTGACCGAATGCTTAAGATTCCTATGGTTTATGGTTTTCCTATGATTTCAGCAAGAGAGCCCGGGCAGGAAATTTGTAGAATTTTTGTGAAAAAAACATTGGGTTTTGATGTTTTTATGATGAAATGCTTGCAAACACACGGTGTTCGGTAGGATTCTGTCATGAACGCGCGCGTGTGCTCTTTGTGGTATTTTTGCAATGGATTATCGCCGTGGACGACAGGACGTCCATGTCGAGAGGAAAAAATAAGAAACATGTTGATTCTGTATTGTTTTTTTGCAGGTTAGGATGGGACCACCCGGATGGGGCCCCTATCTGCCGGCCTGAGGGGGGAGTAGGAGTATATTCTAATAAGGAATAAGGATAGGAGTAGGAGTAGGAGTAGGAGTCAAGCTAGCCAGCTCGAGCGAGTCAAGCATGGCATGCCCAGTCGTAGTAGTAGTAGTAGTAGTAGTAGTAGTAGTAGTAGTAGTAGTAGTAGTAGTAGTAGTAGTAGTAGTAGTAGTACTAGTATTAGTAGTAGTAGTAGTATTAGTAGTAGTAGTAGTAGTAGTAGTAGTAGTAGTAGTAGTAGTAGTAGTAGTAGTAGTAGTAGTAGTAGTAGTAGTAGTGGTAGTAGTGGTAGTACTAGTCGTAGTCGTAGTCGTAGTCGTAGTCGCAGTCGTAGTAGACGTAGTCGTGCGCAGGCACACGGGGGCGCCCCCCCCTTCCCCGCGAAATCCGTTCCGAGCCTCGAGCAGCAGCAAGCGAGAAATGCCAAGAAGGGCACGGCCCCGCGCGCGCGAGCGCCTCCGACCCGCCCTCTCGGCATGCCCGCTCACCGTTCGTAGCTCCGTCGGTCGCTATGGCTCGTCGCTTCTCCCCCCCCCCCGATCCCACTCCCAGCACCCCTCAGCCCCCCCCGTGCCGTGATCGCCGGACTTGCTGCTGCGGGCATGCGTCCAGTTGTGGGAGCGCACTGCCAGCTCCTGCTCCTCCCCCTCTTCCTCCTCCCCCTCCTCCCTCTCCTCCTCCCCCTCCTCCCTCATTCCACCTTCTCCCTCCTCCATTTCCCTCATCCCCCCACCTCTTCCCTCATCTCTCATCGCTCCTTCGTCCTCCCTTCCCCACCTCCCTCCTCCTCCTCCTCCTCCTCCTCCTCCTCCTCCTCCTCCTCTCTCCCCTTCCTCCTCCTCCTCCTCCTCCTCCTCCTCCTCCTCATCATCATGAGCATCACTCCCTCCTCTCCCTCCTTCCTCTGACGGTAGGAGATGCATCTGTCTCCATGCGATGTGGTCTTGCAAGTGCCGCCCTCATCCCCGCGACACTGGCGTCTGTGGCGTGCCTTATGATGCGACGGGGCATGCCTTTTGAAGTTGCCAGCAACATGCTCAGTCAGATGTTGCTGTCTATATTTCCTCGAGGACATGAAACTGCGACGGGGCAAGATCATGCAGCAGCGAGCGTCACTGCTGCGCCGCATCCTCCGGAAAAGAATACAGCAGCCAGCGTCACTGGTGCGCCGTCTCCTCCGAGAGAGAAGGCGGCAGCCAGCGTCACTGTCGCGCCGCCTCCTGCCCAAAAGCACGCAGCTGCCAACGTCACCGAAGAGGGGGAGCGGTTGCTGCCGCTGGTCTGGGTGCACTTCCCCAAGACGGGGTCCTCGTTTGCCTCGCTGCTTGCACATTTCGGCTGCCCCGACATCCCCACAACGTGAGAGTGATGCACCCGGCGGTCTTCCATCGCAGCTACCCCAAGGAGGAGTGGTGCAACGGCAGCTTCGAGCGGTTCCAAGCTGGCCACGACCCCATCCTCGTTCGCGAGCTGGGCGGCGCCACCCCCCCCGAGCGCGTCGTCAGCATGTTCCGGTCGCCCGCCTCGCGAGTGGTGTCGGGGTATCCAGCTGCCTGCGCAAGTCCCGCCACCGTGCCAGCCTTAAGTCGGGCGTGTCCCTTTACAGGGGGGATCTTCAGAAACTGCCGAAAATAGTCCAGGGACGATTGTTCGACTACTTCGAGGTAGTTTTGGTCAGGGGACGATTTCTCTTTTGTTTAGGGTGCATTTTTCTAAACAAAATAGGGTCTTCTAATTTTTTGCCCAAAATCCGCCTGTACAGTCGGGACCCTGAAGAAGGAACCCTTTTCGTTGGGGAGGGGCTCCGTGCTCCTTAATTGTTTCGCAGCTTGCCTTAGATTTTCCTTAGGTTTTCGATGGGAAATCGAAGGTTAACTTGTGGAAAAAAGGGGCTTCGTTCCTTATTTAGGGTTCCTTAGGTCAACGCCCCGACGGTAGGGGGGCACGCCCGACTCTGATCAGGGAGCGCGCCCGGGGTTGGCGGCAGCTCGAGGTGGGGGGGGGGGGGGGTGTGGGCAAGGGAGCCTGCGCGCGTGCGCCCCGTGTCTCCAGGCTTGACAGGGGGCCCAGAGGTATACACCACCACCAGCATCCTTATCTCCCCCTCCTCTCCTCCCCTCCCCCTCCTCCCTCCTCCTCCTCCTTTTCCCCTCCTCCTCCTCCTCCTCTCCTCCTCCTTCCTCCTCCTCCTCCTCCTCCTCCTCCTCCTCTCCTCCTCCTCCTCCTCCCCCTCCTCCTCCTCCTCCTCCTCCTCCTCCTCCTCCTCCTCCTCCTCCTCCTCCTCCTCCGGGAGAGAGGAGAGGGGGACGAGGGCGGAGGAGGGAGGCGGAATCGACGTGGTGGTGGTGTATGCTCTTGGGGCCCGCAAGGCTTGCGGGGAAAAGGGGGGGGGCGGGAGCGGCCTCCGGGGCCCCCCACAGGGGAGCCAGGAGCAGGCGGGAACCTCGGGGGCAGGGAGAAGCAGCCTGCAAGCAAGGTCGAGCCTGCCAGAAACAGACCACTGGCAGGAGCGGAACAGCCTGCAGCAACGAGAGCACCGCCTGCAAGACACACACACACACACACACACACGCACACGCACACGCACACACACACACACACACACACCCACACACACACACACACACACCACACACACACACGCGCACACACACACACACACACACACACACACACACACACACACACTCAGCAACAACAGAATTGCCTGCACGAGAGAGACACAACCTCGGGGGGGGGGGCGGGGGGGACTCGGGGACGGGGGCCCCGGGGGGCAGGACAGCAGCAACCTGCGGGCGGGGTGGGGGGCGGGAGGGCGGCCTGCGAAGCAGGGAGTGGCCTCGGGGGCGCCCGCGGGGACATCTGGGGCGGGGGCCCCGGGGGCGACTGGGCGACGGCCTGCGATGGGGGGGGAGGGGTTGGCCTCGGGGACTCCCCAAGGGAATCGGGTGCAGGAACCTCGGGGACAGGAGCAAACGACCTGCAAGAGACAGAAACAGCCTGGAAGGCATTGTTTTGCTTCGAGCGATCCCCACCGAAACCTTCGGCGTTTGTTTCCAAGTCTGGTACCGTGTTTTAGTGTGGCCAGCCCGAGCTCGGCGAGCATGTAGCGTTTGAAAAGACGGCCTGGATCGGTCGCTGCTGCATTCTCTCCAATCGCGCTCCATTCGTGTTTTTTTTCTGCTGCATGTATATGGTTTGTTATGTTCTGCTCTCGATGGGACGGCGTGTCGTCTAATCAGTCGTTGCTGCACCTGTTTTAGTCCTGTGACCAGCCTTACGTCGGCGTGCATGCAGAGCTTGACAGGGCGACATTCATGTGTCGCTGCTGCGTATCAGCGTGCTCAAGTCTGCTGTATCACACGATGTTCTAGTATGTTGCACTGTAGTATGTCATGTTGTGTTCTCGACGGGTCGGAATGACGTCGTGACGCCTGTCTCAAGCAGTGGCGAAGCGTCTTGGCTTGCACATAGGTCCACCAAACAATGTTCTAAGAACTCACTTTGTGGTTTGCACGAAAGGTATGTCTGGCTGAGACTGTTTTGTTTTACAGGATCGGCTTTATGTTCTAAGCACAGTTCTTTGGTTTGCTCGAACTTTCCATTGTTCTAACAACAAGTCGTGATATGCCGATAGGAAGGCCATGACGGTCGGTCCTTGCTCAATTGTCACGTAAGATACGTCGTCCAATCGGTCGCCGTTGCGATGGCTTGTTCCTGTGGCCAACCTGACATCGGCGCGTACATCGCGTTTGGTTATATCATGGTACGGCCGATGATGTGGTGATGTGTGTTAGATGAGACACCCTGAATTGGTGGCTGCGGTGTAGTATTCTGCAGGCTTGCCGAACATCCGCCGACCCATTGATTTGGGCGTCTCTGGGCAGCGGGGTCGGTCCTACGGGGTTCAGGCGAACAGAGAGGAAATCTAAATGCTTTTCTTCGTGCCCCAACCCTCCACCGCCTTCTTCAAATGATTTTTAGACTCCAGGGCAGAAGGCAAGGATAATGGGGACAGCTACATGTCTCACATGCCTCTCCCCCTCCCTGGCACGAGTGGGTCGGCAGATCACTGTGCATGCGTTTTATCAAAGTGAGTATGTGTATATGTATATGTGTGTATATATATATATATATATGTATTCTCCAATCAGAGCTTGCCTCTGTAGGGGTCCTAGCGGATTCACATGGGTAGGTGAGGTTCGTCGCCGATTTTGGTGGCCGGCCTGGGTGCCCGGGTGCCCGGGGGTGCGTGGGTGCCCGGGTGCCCCAGGGTGCCCGGTGCCCGGAGGGTGCCCGGGTGCTCTATATAGTCTTATAGCCCTAATAGCCCTATCGCCCTATAGCCCCATCATAGCCTTATAGCCCTATAGTCCCATAGCCCTATAGCCCCCCAAAGAATTGATCGTCTTTTCTCTGGTATCACAAATTCCTATGTATTACCTAACAGCTTTTGCTGATAGGTTTCTAGTGGTCTCAAAAGACAGCAGCAGATGACTCCACAGGGGGGTCGGGGCGGGACCGTGAACGGCTGCCGCCGAAGCCGAAATCGCTTTGGACATCCTCGCAAAATCGCTCTTGGTGCTCCCAGAACTCCATTCCCGGGCCACATTTTGGATGCCCGGAGCCAACTGTAGGCCACTTCGTGCTCTTCGATTTCCCAGAACTCCATTCCCGGGCCACATTTTGGATGCCCGGAGCCAACTGTAGGCCACTTCGTGCTCTTCGAGTTCCCAGAACTCCATTCCCGGGCCACATTTTGGATGCCCGGAGCCAACTGTAGGCCACTTCGTGCTCTTCGAGTTCCCAGAACTCCATTCCTGGGCATGATGTTGAATGCCCGGAGCCAACTGTAGGCCACTTCGTGTTCTTCGAGTTCCCAGAACTCCATTCCTGGGCCACATTTTGAATGCTGAGGCAGGCTGAGGCTGAGGCTGAGGCAGGCTGAGGCTGAGGCAGGCTGAGGCTGAGGCTGAGGCTGAAGGCAGGCTGAGGCTGAGGCTGAAGCTGAGGCTGAGGCAGGCTGAGGCTGAGGCTGAAGCAGGCTGATGCTGAGGCAGGCTGAGGCTGAGGCTGAGGCTGATGCAGGCTGAGGCTGAGGCAGGCTGAGGCTGAGGCCGAGGCTGAAGGCAGACTGAGGCTGAGGCTGAAAGGCAGGCTGAGGCTGAGGCTGAGGCAGGCTGAGGCTGAGGCTGAGGCTGAGGCAGGCTGAGGCTGTGACTGCGACTGCCGTTGCCGCTGCGACTGTCATCGCGAATGCGACTACGACTGCGAGAACAGCAGAATTCGACAACTGGATTTTCATCTGAATCTTAAGGGGAATGCTTTCAGATATGATTCTACACATCGCTGTTAGGTTGCTTTGCCGGGATCATATTTTTTTGCAGGGCCGGGGACCCCGGAAAAGCGGCACACGGTGCCCCCCCCCCAAAAACGAATTTCGGCCTCCCCGAGCCTTCGGGGCGCTCCTGCAGAGTGCTCCGTGTCTGTCCTGCGAGTGCGACGCGAAAAAAAAGAACCCCCACGACGGCCAAAGAGGGCCCCGAGACACCCAAAGATCGGCCCAAGACGCCCAATCTGGGCCCAAGACTGCCCAAGACGCGTCCAAGACGCCCCCAGAGACCCCCAAGAGGCCTCCCAAGAGAGCCCCGAGAGGCTACAATTGTTGATTTTCCTGTGTGTTTTCGATGTTTTTTGCCTTCTCACTTTTCCCGCTTCCCGTCGCTCCATAATGGCCCAAGAGGCTCCCTAGATCGCCCCAGTACTGCCCAAGAGGCCCCCAAGAAGGCCCCAACACGGCCCAGGAGGGCTCCGACACCGCCCAAGAGGCGCCCAAGACGGCCCAAGAGAGCACCAAGACGGCCCCAAGAGAGACCCAAGAGGGCGCCCAAAAATTCAAAAACTAAATTTTCCGCCGCGAGAGGGCCCCAAGAGGCCCGGCGAGAGCCCCATGAGGCCCCAAGAGGCTCCCAAGAGGCCCCAAGGAGCCCCCAAGAGGCCCCCAAGAGGCCCCAAAAAGATCCCAAGAACCCCAAAACACCCCCAAGAGGCTTCAAAACTGCCTCCCAGAGGGCCCCGAGAGGCGCACCACGAGATCCCAACACAGCGGTCTCCCCCTCTCATTATCCCTTCTCTTTGTCGTCGCCTTCGTCGTCGTCGTTGTCGTATCAAATGGCGCAGCGAGGCCATTTTTCGTTCAAACCACCGAAGGACCCAAGAGCTCCCCCTCCTCTTCCTCATTCTCTTCCTCCTCTACCTCCTCCTTCTCCTCCTCCGTCGTCGTCGTCGTCGTCGTCGTCGTCGTCGTCGTCGTCGTCGTCGTCGTCGCCGTACTAATCTTCATTGTCTCTCCCCTCGCCCTTCACCCCTCCTCCCTCCTCCTCCGAGAGAGAGGAACCGAGAATGGAGGATCAAGGTTTTCGGATTGTTTGTTCTGGGGGGTTTTCCGGCCTGGGGATTTCCTTCATGTATCTGCGACTCGCCGGAAGCGTTTTGGGGGCGCCGGAAACGTCGCGAACGGCCCCCAGAGGCCCGAGTCATGGCCCGAAAACCACGCGGGGGCATCAAGGGAGGAGAAGGAGGGGGGAGGGAGGAGGAGGATGAGGGGGAAAAGGGGGGCGAGGACGAGGAGGAAGGGGACATGGAGGAGGGAGCGAAGACGAGGGGAGGGGGATGCGGGGGATTGAGCACCTGGACGCGGTGCCCTTGCCGACCTTACCGGAGAGGGCTGGCCGAATCCGAGGGGCCCCTGGGGGAATTTCCAAACCTGCGCCGCCTCTTGCACTACCTTCGGGCCCCCTTGGCGGCTTGGAAAACCGTTCCTAATTCGGGGGGGTTCTCCCACCTTTTGCCGCTTGACTCGCAGAGAGGCCGAGCGGCGCCGCGCCGCGACGCCAGGGATGGGGGGAATGGACGAAAAAAAAAAAGCGGAGAGAGGGGGAGAGGAAGAGGAGGAGGGACAGGAGGAGGAGGAGGAGGGGGGGGAGGAGGAGGAGAAGGAGGAAAAGGGGAAGGGGGAAGAGGAGATAACGGAAAGTAGTCTAATCCGCTTCGTCAGAGATATGCTCGCAACTCCGACCTCAGAAGCGCCTCGCTTCGCATCGGTCCCGCCGTTTTCGCTTGGGACATCGTCGCAGCTCTGGGGCCCGAGACGCTCTCAGTCGAGGTGTTCCAGCCACTGTCTCCTGAGACGCTCTCGCAATTCTCACTTCGGAGGTGCCTTGCACCATGGTGGTTCGGCCACTTTCGCGCGCGACTTCTCGCAACTCTAAGTTCAAGGGTGCCCTGGGCAGAGGTGTTCAGACCACTCCTCGCTTGAAACTTCCTCGCGCGGTTGACTTCGGATATGTCCTCCCCTGAGCGGAGGTGTTCAGGCCATTTTCACCCGGGACGTCCTCGCAACACTGACCTCGGCGACGCACTGTCCCATGGTAGTCTGACCACGTTTGCCTGAGATCCTCTCGCCTTTTAGTGGCGCGATGATACGAGCAACTCGTCAGGCCATTACCGCCTGATATACGCATGTGTCTGCGCAAACATAATTTCACTCACTGACCATTTGCATATACATGTACATCCCCATACGAACGTGTATATATGTATATATGTATATATATATGTACATATGTACTATGCATTCATAGACGCATGTGTGTGCGCATGTACGCACGCTCGCATTCCGGTAGCGTGCGAATTCCAAAGGACCAGGTGCATGGCGCGCAGCGCCAATGCAGCCCTGTATATATATATATATATATATATATATATATGTATAAAACATAGATACACCTTTATATATGTGTATATAAACATATATATATATATATATATATATATATGTGTGTGTCGTGCACAAAGACATGGTTCTTGGCCAGTCTCGGTTCCTAGGCGGTCTCGGAGGCCGTCCTGGTTGTGTTGGAAACGCAACGTGCGAACATGCTGAATGTTCAAGGTCTCCAGAAGGAATGGGGCGAGGCTTGCTTGCTAAAGCCTTCGCGCCATCCGTGATCGTCAAGCGTTTTTCGTGGGTCCGACGTCGACGCCGCGCCCGTGGAAACTTTGTGGGGGCTGGTCGGGGGCCTTTTGGGCGCTCTTTGGAGCTTCTTGGGGATCTCTCGGCGCCCTCCTGGGTCGTCAGACGCGCATCTTGGGCAGTCGGGAGCTGCCTGGGGCGCCTCTGAGGCCGTATTGGGAGCATTTTGGGCTGTCTTGGGCCGTTCCTGGGGCTGTCTGGGGCTGTCCAGGGGGCATTCTGGGCCGCCCCAGGGTCGCGTGAAACCGTCTTCGGGCCCTCTTGGGAGCCTCTTGGGTAGTCTTGGGGGAATCTAGGGGGCCTCGGAGGCCGTCCCGGACGTGTTAGAAACGCAAAATGCGAATTCCCCACCCGCTTGTTCTCTCGTTGTCCCTCTTTCTCCCTTCCGCTTGCGCAATTTAGGCCGTAGCCTGGTTGTTACGATTTTCGGGCGGCGTTCGGCACTTCCGATGCGCTCGCGGTCAAAAATCCCCACCAGCCCATTCAGAAGCCCTGCCCGTGAGAGCTGACGGGAAAAGGGACGAAGAGACACATCTAGGGAAACAAAGCGAGCAACCAGGGTGAACCGAGAGATCTTTGGGAGCAAGGGGGTGACCTTGGAAGGCCTCTTCGGGCCATCCCTGGGGGCCGCGTGGGGGCGAGGGGAAGAGGAGGAGCGGGGAGGAGGAGGAGGAGGAGGAGGAGGAGGAGGAGGAAGAGGAGGAGGAGGAGGAGGAGGAGGAGGAGGAGGAGGGGGAGGAGGAGGGAGGAGGAGGAGGAGGAGGAGGAAGGAGGAGAGGAGAGGAGGAGGAGGAGGAAGGAGGAGGAG